TTTGTGACAACAATGAACAGTTCATTACTGAACTGTCCATTATTATAAAAGATGTCCATGCCCTATGTACTTCTAGAGGCTAGCACCATGCCTGAAACACATCTAAAGTACAAAACTTGTCAGAAAAGGTGTTTTATCTAAGCCAGAACTGATACCCCATTGCCACTGCCTCCACCTGAATACTCCATTTCAGTCCTTTGGAGCTTTTTTTCCATTTTCAGGCTTTTGAGAAAATGTATCAGGCCATCATGGCCTTCTGTCTCTGCCTTGCCTTGTCAAGACTGTCATTCACATGCTTCACTTGCCTCATATTAAATGCATTGTGTGAAGTCATTCTATATGACAAAGAGTTGGTTCATCAGCTAAAACTCCTGCCTGCTCTTATCTGGCTTTCTATATACAGCTCATTTTTATGCTCATTAACTCGATGCACTTTCTGGTGTCAAGTAAGCCTTTGGCATAACACACAAGGCTTTAAGCAAGAAGAATAGAGGCTGATGCCAGATGAATGAGGGTGTGAGATCCTGAGCAAATGCAAGGGTAAAATATGGTATGGCTGGCTCCAGAGACAATGTTGTTGATGATGTCTGAAAAGCCATCAAATTTTGAAAGTGCCAATCAAAGGCAGGAGAATATGATTTGCAGATCAATTATGGTAGATGACACCACAGCTATAGCAGAAAGGGTCTCAATGTCAAGGCCTAAGAGATGTTCAGAGGTAGACTTGAAAGGAGACATGAGAGAGTAAGTGCGACTTAGTGCAATGAGAGAGCAAGTGTGACTTAATGCTTTTGTGCATGATGCATATGCAGCCTGCTTACAGCAATTACTGTGAGAGGTTAAATCTGTGCAGGCACTCACTGTGTGCCTGGATCTTGGACAATCATTATCTCAGCACGCTCATAGAAGCTAATATGGCTAGACAGCCTCTCACATTAAAGTTCAAGAATCGCTCCAGCTGTGATGAAGAATCACAGCCACCCAAGAAACACATTATTTACAGTGATGATAAAAATGGCTCACATGAACAATAATGTATCAGGTGTGTCTCATTCTCTATAAGGCAGTAGTACATTGATCCATTGAGCAGGAACTAGTGAGAGAGTTTGATGGCGAAGGCTCTAGGTCACCTATTTGTTTCACATTTGTTGAAGATAGCCAAGAACTCATAAAATTAAATGTTAAAAATAAAAATATATATGTGCAGGACAAGGAGACAAACGACTATTCAAGTACAAGCATTTGACACAGAAGTAAGAACAATATGCAAGGTCCAGTGAATGGTAAGATTGGTGAAGATGAGCCACATGAGCTTAGTTTCAAGAGTGTCAAGTATCGGCCATCTCAAATGTGTTTCATCAAATCTCAGAAGTATTTATATATTCTTAGATCCTTCTTGTCACTCACTTGTCAACTAGAGGTGCTCTGGATACATGGAACACTGCAGCACACTTTATCTCTAAAGCCCTTGGACCATTTGTCAATATTCTTCAAGTGTTGCAGGTGGGCTCAAATGTGACAGCATAGATAAAAATGATTGGAATCTCAGTAAATGGCCAAATATGTGAGTTTACAATTGAATACTTCACTTTTCAAGCACATATACATAATCAAATCATAATTTCATAATATTCAGTGATGAGGATGAAGTGAAAACATTTTTCAAGAACTATCAGACATTGCTGGAATTATTTCAGAACTATTGAATCTTGTCCTTATGCTGAACAATGATCTAGATGAGCTGACACATGTGGTGAACTTGGTATAAGTTTTTTTAATCATCAACAGACATGATCTCATTTGAGATCAAATTGATATTGCAAGCTAACTTGAAAGGCACAATCTGCATACACTGATGATCACAGCAACATCAAGAAGAATGTCCTCAAGTTTATTCTCAAGTTGCAGCATATAGGACAGATTGATTCAGATTATTCAGAAAAGCAGCACAGCTTCTACTATCCTGCAATTGGGTGCCTGCTTTGCCCTCATTAAATGTGTTACAGTTTCAGTGCTCCATGATCACGTGACAGTTTACGTTGCATGTGATACTTACTATTTATGGTTCATAGGTCTTGTGGACATATTTTAGGGTTAGCAGTTTTTCGTTTTCACGATTTACTCACTCAGGTCATGTGAACAAGACCTTCATATTTCAGGTTTTCTATTTTACCTGTACTAACAATAGCTCACCAATTACCAGGTTCGCAGCAGTTAGTATTTTACTTGGTCTATTTCATTTACTCTATGTTTAGCACTGAGGCAGTGTAGAGGACCTCTTGTACTGGTACCTCAGACTATAGGTCTGCGACTATATAAAGGGGCAGAGCAGCAAGCTGGAAGACAACCTCTTCCACTTGTGCTTCTGAACGTTCTCAGTTCTAGAACCTTGTGAACTCAGCCTCACTCTCAAGAGGTAGTCAGCTTTATGCTGCACTTGAGCTCAATCCAGTGAACCTAGTAACCTTCAGGTGGACGCGCAGTAGCTGCATCAGTCCAAAGCCAAGTGTGGGTAGAGTGAACTGTTACCTCACTGCTACAGGTTGCCACTTCAGCTTAGACAACACTATAAACCTTGTCAATAAACAGTATGTGCGAAAGCTCACGTGGTCACTGTTAAGGTTCTAGTGGGGGACACTTCATAACAAAATGTGAGATGCATTTGACAGTGACCTTGCAGAGTATGTTTCTCATTCTATTATCCCACCATACATCTATTATCACTGAAACATCTATATCAGATTTTGCAGAGATGTCATAGATGGTAAAATTAATATCATCACGGATAATTTTTCATCAATGATATATCCTGAGAATGGATATAACTCTGCTATAATTGATGAGAATTTACTGTAAAATGATTTCAAGCCTCTGTGAGTCACGTCTTTATCTGCTATTCCATATTAAGTACTTTTAATGCTTCTGATGTTTGTTTACTGAATCAAGCATCAGCAAATGTCCTTTGAACTCTGCCACCTGCTGCAAGATAAAAGGAAGTGGTCATAATCCTATCACAGTGACTTACTTTATGAAGGGGTGCAACTTGTAAGTACAACATTGCATATGTACATTGCTACTCTGGTATGTGCTTCAAATTCAGTCACATTCGATGCTAAATGCAATCTTATAGGCTCATTTCACTGCAAATTCTCAGATAGAGTGGACAAAAGATGATGGTGATTTTCACCTTGAGAAATATTTCAATGATGTTCTTACACTTTTTGAGGATTCAGAGTGATGTGATAATACTCTAGCATGGTATGATGCGTGAGTCTCAAGTTTCTTCATTGTAATAATGTTTTCAAGGTTTCTGCTCAATGATATATAATATAGTGAGGTATTCAAGAAAGGTACTCACAAAGGTTGTGATGATTCAAAATATGGAGGCCCATCTTTGATCAATGTGCTGGCACAACAGCATGCTGCAAAATGTGCTGCTTGTCGATAAATGTCTACCTCACTGCCATCAACTGAAAGTGCAGCATCTGAAGTGGATAGAGTTAGCAGCATGTTTGATAACCTTGATAGCTCGAAAAGAGAAGATAATTGAACTTGCTACATGCTTGGTTGCCATACTACATTTCTACATTCTGATCTTTATTTTGATAAGGCATTCTTGTCAGCTCTTGAACATTTCCTCTTTGTTGTTATTCAAGTGTTCTTTCATTATTTTGCTTTGCTGCTCTTGTTATTATCATCACATGTCTTGCTCTCCCTCACTCTCCTGCTTTCAGTATAATGTCTCACTTCTGCTCATATACCTGCATGTCTGCATCACTATGTGATGCTGTATAAATAATCTGTACAATTGGTAGCTTACAGTAAATTTGTTAATAACTCTATCAGCACCTATCATATATCAGTCAGATGATGAGGTGTTTAGCTGAGCATTCATGCACCTAAATGATCTCAAACTCACCTGAGAACATGGTGAAGTATCTGACTAGGCCTGATCTCATTACACAGACATGCCACAGACCTATATATTGACTGTATAGTAGAAACTTATTGGACAGACAATGGCAGGTATAGTCAGTTAAAAATTAAAGGTTACAGATCCTGCTGAATCACTGTGCAACTGCCAGATTATGCAGGTGGCCTCAGATAAGACAAGTTAAGATTAGATAAGATCAGACTGGTGTCTGAACATTTTGTTGATGTGCTAAGATGGAATTCATGGTAATTTTCAGTAAAAGTGAGGAGCATACATCACCATAGAATTGCAGCACTCTGCATGTCAATTGTGATGAAGGATGTTTATTCAGTATGAGATTTGCTACTATTTAAGATATAAAATGGTTTATAATGCAGGTATCCTTCTAGATCCAGTGATAATGGAGTGAATGTGTCATAGGAAGACGTAGAAGAGTTGTCATTTGTTATTGTTACTGCTGTTATTACATAAGGAAGTAGACTGTTAACATAGTTGTGAAAGACATTATTACAGCATTGAGTAGAGTTTACATAGTGATACATATTAGTAGTTGTCTCATGGAGAGATATGACAAAGCTTAAATGGCCACATGTGCATCATAAGAAGTGCACAAATATTAGTATTAGATGACAATAAGTACTATCAGAAGATGTAAAGTGTACAGACAGCCAGCAATGAACATAAGAACATATAACAACAAGAAGCATGAGAACATAAAAGCAAAATGATGATGTTGTAAGTAGAGTGTAAAAGTGAAAAGGGTAGAAAGGCTGGAGAGAAAATGATCAAAGAAGACAAATAGGCACAAATATCTGTGTCAAAAATCCCATCATAATTACACCCAGGAGAAACCTTGCAGTCACAAGGTAATGTATAAGCTGTTCAACTGTTAGATTATCCTATTCATTCCTTTGATATGGAAGGTTCCACCTTTGTATGAAAACAAAAGTGAAGCAGATGCAGGACAATTGTATATACTTTCTCTAGTTCCTGAATTTCAGTTAAATCTAACACTTTCCTGCTCAAATTCTCAGCTTCCCAAATCAGTCCTTTCTTTGCGGTGTATGTAAGTGTTCAGTTTCTGAATAATTCATTATGATATTATATGTTTTACTGACTGAATTGAATGATAATTACAGAAGAACCCGGTGAATACTTCACAACTGTCGATAGCAATAATAATAAGATAGCAAGAGAAGTTTGCATTTTTCAGCTCTCATTCGCATGTACTCCCATGTCATCAAGAGATAGCGCAGAAGAATGCACACCATTCTGCCAATGGAGGCCAGGCATCCCACTTCGACTTGTGAAGTGCGCATTCCCGTTGTCATATTCATTGAGGAGACTTGAAATGTGACCGTGTAAAGAGGCAGGACTGCGGAAGAAGAATCGCTTTGAGCTTGCATTGACGCTGTCGAGGCTACTAGGTGTTGACCTGCCATGATGCGCCAGATCATCCAGTCGCGGAACGTCAAGGTATTGGTTCGTCATGATACTCATTCGTTTTCGCTCTCTATGGCCAGGTCTTCGGGCGGAATGCTGACGGCGAGCGGATGCGCTGTGGCCGTTGATCATTTCGTCGTCTGAGCCGTCTTCAGACATCATGTCTTGAAGCCTATATACAAATCGACTATGTTCTGGCAGAGGAACGCCTCAACATCGAAGACAAGAGAAACATACGGTACTCACGAGCAAGCTCTTCGTCCAACTCATCTGCCTCGTCGGAGTCTTCGCCTTTCGAGAAGCCGAGATGCTCGCCGAGACTCTCCCGGGGAACATCGTGCAGTCCGACGGACGGCGCGGGTTGTAGCTCTGAGAGGTGCTGTAAAACCGAAGCGCTACGGGATAGCGTATGAGGGTATGATCCAGCCACGAACCACAAACACGTACCGTAGATGATCGAGGTATCCATCTTGTAAATTCATATCGGTCATGTTGTTGGACGGGACCTCCAAGCGATAACGCGGTGCGAACCACTCGAAGTACTCGTTCCATGGTAGGAGAGGGTCGATTTCCTGCTCGATGCCGAGAGCGCACGCCGTCTCGTATGCCCAGGTCCTTGCGACGTTCTTTACCGTGTACCCGCCACCGCCGACTAACATCAATGGGACGTTCTTTTTGCGCATGTACTGGACGCAATTTGCATGACCATGCATGCTGAGATTAAGACATCCCAGGCGGTCTCCGGCGAGAGAGTCCGCACCACACTGCAGGACGACAGCAGATGGCCGGAAGACCTCCATGATTTTGTCGATCACCTGTGCGAGAAAACGTTACTGACACTACATATCGCAAGCGCACCGTACCAGCCATGACGAACAACAAACGCACAGGCTCGAAGATACTCTTGAAGGAGTCATCGGTGACACCATCCCTGAACGGAACGTTCACGGCATAGCCTTTTCCCTTTCCCCACCCTCGATCCTTGAGTGCGCCTGTTCCGGGGAAGAAGTCGCCGTACTTGTGCAAGGAGCAGGTCATGACACGGTCTGTCGTGTAGAACGCTTCCTCGACTCCATCGCCATGATGACAGTCGATATCGATGTACAGAACGCGGGGCACAGAGCGCAGAAGTTCCAGTATTGCAAGGACAATGTCGTTGATGTAACAGAAGCCCGAGGCTTCACGCTTCTTGGCATGATGTAGACCGCCGGCCCAGTTGACTGCGATATCTGCTGCACCGTTCGCAAGACGCTGCGCCGCAGCTGGAAAATGGTCTAGTGAATATTCAGATATTCTATGCAGATAGACCGCACCTATTGACCCTCCTGCAGAAATGGAACAGAACTCGAAAACCCCGGGAAACGCAGGGTTATCTTCAGCAGGCACAAGAACTAACGCAACCGTTAAAATGTGTGACGTGGACAGAATGGATTACGCTTACAGCGAGAATAGTTGCCGGTTAATTCTTGGGCGGTCTCCGGAGTGACTGTGTTCAAGAAATGGACGTACTCGTCCGTGTGGAAACGGCTCATTGCTTCTGCAGGGGCGCGTTCGGCTCGCTGGAAGGCAAGGTCAGCAGTTGAGCGAGTAATTTCGAACAGATGAGTTCACATACTAATATGTGCATCTTGTCGAGCAGCCCGTATGCCGACAATAGTTCATGGGTGATGCGCATGCGTTGCGGTTTCATGAAGTGCCCGACTCCGTAGGTGTACGAGCCGACGTCGGCTGGAAAAACGTTGAAAGCGAACTCGCTATCGACAGTGAAGTACATACGATCATAATAGTACGCGACTCTGCGTTTGGACATGGCGATGGATGGAAGGAAAGAGGAGCATATAATGCCTTTGTTCCCTCAACGCGCCCGTTGGACGAGCGGAAACGCGCACGTCACGTGCACTGTGGCAGCGAAATTTGAGGAAGCAGCGCCACCGAAATCCTGACTGGCCAAGGTCTGACATCGTGCCGTCGTACTCATCCTCTTCTCTTGACTTTCAACCACCATCATGGCACCCTCAGCATCTAAACAAAAGCGTCTCGCAGAAAAGGTCGCCAAACAAGCCTCCAAAGGCAAATCGACCGATGCCTCGACGTCGACCACCACACCCTCAGGTTCCGTCAACGGCGGTAGCTCCCTAAACACCCCCTTAACCAGCTTGTCTGCGGCGACGAGCACTGAAGACCTCATTTCGATGGCCAAGTTGAAAATTGCAACCGATCGGTGAGTTTTGGCACAATTATGCTTCAGAGGCAGTCGACTAACGCGTTATCATAGGAGCGCTGCAGGCGTGCTCGTGTCCGATCCCAAAGGTCGCGATATCAAAATCGACTCTTTTACCCTTTCCTTCCACGGAAGGTTACTCATTGAGAATGCGGAGATCTCGCTCAACTACGGTCAGCGGTATGGCTTACTTGGAGAGAACGGCTCAGGAAAGGTGAGCGTCGCAATCAATCCCAGTCGTCGAAAAATACTGAATGTCTGCTGCTTAGTCAACTCTCTTGCAATCCATTGCCGACCGCGATATTGATATCCCCGATCATATCGACATCCATCTTGTCCGTGGTGAGGCTGAGCCTTCAGATGTCAACGCGATCGACTTTATCGTTGCATCCGCCAAGGAGAAGGTAGCGAAGCTCGAGCAACGCATCGAGGATCTCTCTGTCGCCGATCATGTCGATGAAGTTGCATTAGACAGTGCTTACGAAGAGCTCGAGGAGATGGATCCCAACACATTCGAGGCAAAGGCGGGCAGCATTTTGCACGGTCTGGGATTCAGTCAGCAAATGATGCACCGGCCCACGAAGGATATGAGTGGTGGTTGGCGCATGCGTGTCTCCCTTGCTCGGGCTCTCTTCGTGAAGCCCCACCTCCTGTTGCTCGATGAGCCCACGAACCATCTGGACTTGGAGGCTGTCGTGTGGCTCGAAGCATACCTCTCCATGTACAATCACATCCTCGTGATCACATCACATTCACAGGACTTCATGGATAGCGTTTGCACCAACATCATGGAGCTCACGCCGAAGAAAAAGCTCGTCTACTACGGAGGCAACTATTCAACCTACGTGCGAACGAAACAAGAGAACGAGGTCAACCAGATGAAGGCATACCAGAAGCAACAAGATGAGATCGCTCATATCAAGAAGTAATAACATCTACTCAAGGGCTGCCCAATTGGCTGACCACTGTATGCAGGTTCATCGCATCTGCTGGTACATACGCCAACTTGGTTAGGCAGGCAAAGTCAAAGCAGAAGATTATCGACAAGATGGAGGCTGCGGGTCTCATCGAGAAGATCGAGATACCGAAGCCGCTGCGATTCAACTTCGAAGACATTTCGAAGCTCCCGCCCCCCATTCTTGCATTCAACGACGTCGCCTTCTCTTACTCCGGGAAGAAAGAGGACTACCTGTATCAAAACCTGTCTTTCGGTATCGAGTGCGTAAAATCTGATCCTCCTTGTTATGAGTCAACGCTGACAGCGTCTTTCGCTATCAGTATGGAATCCCGCATAGCCATTGTCGGTCAAAACGGTACCGGAAAGTCCACATTGCTCAATCTGATCATGGGCACGTTGCAACCATGCGAGGGCACCATCTCGCGGCACGTCAACCTCAAACTCGCGAAGTACTCGCAGCACTCCGCAGATCAGCTGCCGTACGACAAGTCGCCCATTGAGCACATGCAATCGCTGTATGCGGAGAAGTACCCGGACAAGGATTTGCAGGCCTGGCGTGCACAGTTGGGCCGTTTCGGTCTTTCCGGACCGCACCAGACATCGCCAATCAAACAATTGTCTGACGGTCTGCGGAATCGGTAAATTCACTTTGTGGATAGACTTGTGCAGCCGTACTAACGCAACTACCAGCGTTGTCTTTGCTCAGCTTGCTATGGAGCACCCACACATCTTACTCCTCGATGAGCCGACCAATCACTTGGACATGGCCTCGATTGATGCGCTTGCGCGCGCCATCAAGGAATTCGAGGGTGGCGTCGTGATCGTGTCTCATGACTTCCGTATGTTCCCTTTAACTCTGATTGAGATGCATTAATTTATGTGCTTCTCAGGTCTGATTTCGCAAGTCGCTGAAGAGTTGTGGGAGGTAAAGAACCGCAAGATCAAGAACCTTACCAAGGAGGGCATCACCATCGTCGACTACAAGAACCTGCTCGTCAAAAACAGTGCGCATTCCATTTCCCGCTTTGACTGGGCAATGCTGACTGTGTCCGATTCTTAGGTTATGCTGCGCTCGAGAAGGCGAAGCTGTTCAGCAAGACCACTAGCAAGACAAAGGCTTAGAACGGTCATTTTGGAATGTACGGAAAGTCGACGAGTTGTAGCTTCAGTCACCGACACCTGCCTTCGTGAGGGCCACGCATTGATTCACGGATGTATTTCATGCATTGTTTCTCTCTGCTCGTTGCATCTGCATAGTCACTTAGAAGCGCATCTTACACTGTTCGACATCACAATGCTGCCACGAGCGATGGAAAGGCTCAATTGCTACACGATGGGTACAATACATTCAATGATTAGAGCATGTTCGATGTGACTGCAAGCTGAGAGGGATGAGATTCTCATTCTGTGATGACAATCTCATAAGAAATAATCTGCTGGTGGTCGTTTCGCCGGTATTGATCGTACGTCCTGTCAAACCAATAAAATTAGTGTAAAGACCACAACGCGGCGTGCGGCCGCTGAAATCAACCCCCTGGAAGTGTACAGTGGGAGATTGGTGACGAGGATTGCACTTACCGATGGTGCATGCGCGAAGACCTTGTACTCCTGCCCGAGAGTGTCGTCCAGCTCCAGAATAGACGCCACATTACCGCACCTGAGAACGACAATGATCAGGTCGAACACATTCAACCGAAGCGAACGCACGTACCGATAGCAATAATTCGGTGCACTCCAGACCGTTACTATGGTCCTGTCGAACATCAGCTTGTAGCCTTCCATAGCGAGCTGGTGCGCTCTGGCGATCAAATCAATGCCGTTATGATGTGCGAAGGCTTTCGTGATGTCCGCGCCGAAGAGGAAACCGGCACCCCGAGGCGATAGTCCCCAGCCGGAGATCTCTATGTCAAAGTCAGTGTGTAAACCATGAGGGGGCATGACCGACATTCACCATCCGGATCTGACCATAGGAGGTCGCACATTGGTCCATCGTGTGGCACTTCCTGTTTGCGATCAATGGCACGTATCTGAGCGTAGCGTAGTTCATCATCACATGCGATGATCATCGAGGCGACGACGTGCCTGGTCAATGCCTTGCAAGTTCGGACTCAATCCACCATGGACACAGAACACCCTCCCGTCCACGATCGCTCCCAAAGCCAAGTAGTCGAACACCTCGCAGCACCACCGCCATACGTTGCTGCTGCCGTACTTCCGCTGGCATTCATCGTAGAATCCGTAGACTTGCGTGATTTGCCGCGATTCGTGGTTTCCGCGGATGAGCGTGATGCGATCGGGGTATCGAACTTTGAGAGTGAGTAGTAGCAGGAATGTCTCGACGCTGTAGAAGCCTCGATCCACAAAGTCGCCTGTGAGAGAAACATGAGTTGAAGACAGACGTAAATCTAGCAGAGGCCGACGCACCCATGAACAGGTAATTCGTCTCGGGGCAAGACCCTCCGACCTTGAAGAGCTCCATCATGTCCCAAAACTGGCCGTGAATGTCGCCACATATCTAAGGCCCATGCATATAATGGCTCAATCTACTCGCGGACCTGAGAAAGCGGGATGCTCACTGTAACGGGTGAGTCGACTACTTGGACGTTGGCTTCCTCGATCAGGATCTCTCTTGCCTTGATGCATAGCCTCTTGACATCCTCCTCCGAAATTGGCTCACAACGATAGAGCTGCGCAATCTGCCTTCACTTGCGCAAGTAGCGTCAGCAAGACGGCATCAACCATAGGCACAATGTACGGAGAGGCATTGCTTTGAGAGAAGCTATAGATCATTGCTCGCTGCACGCTCACCTATCGAGGTCGCTTGGCATAGCGTCAAAGAGAATCAGTAGCTGGGATAGGTATCAAGTTAGGGTCTACTTGGGTCAAAGCAGCGGTATTCACGGCGAGCTTTCGAGAATGGAGGGCGACCGCAGAAACGAATGTGGCGGTTAGTGAGCACGTTCACGCGACGCGACGCGTCTCTGATCGTGTTTCTAGCAGGGCACGCCATGTTCACAGCAATAATGCGGCGGAGATGACAGTGTATTGAGTCCACCGGTGATGGCAAAGTGCACATCAAACAACTTGATTGCGTGCATTACGATGATAGGATACATAATGTGATCATGATACATCCGAGCTACGACATTCAATCCGAGAGCAGAAAAAGAGGACGTGGCGACTACAGAACTGTATCGGCTCCCAAATCGGCAAATTGAATTTGCCGTTGGTCAAAGCGTGCGGGCTCATGTTTTGCATTACAGCTCGTGTCGGCGCGTCTACCTCCCCGAACCTCAGCGAACATCATAGTAGAGGAAGTCCATGCTCAGAAGAGACGGATGGGCTTGCCCATGGTGCTCTTTATGTGAAGAGACTTGACATTCTGCCAATTCTTCTTGAGCAAACTGACCAGGAAGTTTATGCCTGAGCAATCATCAGGTCAGTGGCGGACGAGGGAGTTAGAGAACTGAGACGCACTCAGCATGACATTCCCGAGCACCTGGTCGTCAGTCATCTCGACATGGCCGACGGCAACACCCAAGCAAAGAACCTTCTTGAGCTGGAACTTGATCGTCGAGCGGACTTCCAGGAGTTTGTTCGAGAGGTCTTCCGCGTGGGCGACCGGGGTAGGGAACTTGCCGGCTATTACGATGACAGTCCGTCAATAGCTGTGGGTCGAGAGGTATTAAACTTTGCTGTACCTTTCGACAGACCGGGACCAAGCAGACGAGGAATCTGCTTGATGAGAGTCTCGGACGCAAGAAATGCGTCATACTTTTTGGCGAGCTTCTTGACGAGCTTCTTGTTCTTGTTCAGCCTGCGATCGCGTTGAATCAATGCTATTTCGTTTGGAGAACAGAGGTGTAACACACTTCTTGAGATCATCGACCGACATGTACTCGAGGTCGATCTGCTTAGCACGATCGATGTCGGCGGCATCAGCCAGGATACAGATGGACATGCGCGGACGAGGGACATTTGGAAGCCTGAATGCGAAGAGCCATGAGCACGCAACGCTGAGATATGTCGCATACAGTACGCACTTGACCGTTCCCGAGAAACGTTTATCACGTTGAGGGTCGTAGTTCTTGAGACCAATCTGCAGCTCGATGGTCTCGACGAAGTTACGCTTCTTCTCCTGCGACGCCGCCAACAGCTCCTTGACGGAGCCCCGCACGCTTGATACCGAGAGCTTCGAACCGCTGCCAGGCTGGGCTCAATTGAGTCGGCCAGAAAATGCACGGTGCACACACCTCATGCTGAAAGTGTCCTGTAGTCGTCCGCTAAAGGGTGGTTAGTACCGTAACCGCACGAGCCCACAAATTCCGTGTCGTGCGGGCGGCCTCGGCTGGTGCCGAACACTACTGTACAGTTATTACGGTCACATGATCGTCACTTTCTCATCTCCCATGCGCGACGTTGGCGCGACGCGAACTCGCTTGGACTTCGGACTTTCTTTTTCATCGCTGTGCTCGGTCTGCCTGCTAAAACGTTTCGCGCCATAAATGTTTGCACCACTGCGCTTGTGCCATTCTATCAGACACCATAGCTGCTATTTTATGTTGACACCTGCCTCGTCCGCACCTTTGTACAGGTATGTCACCGTTCTTCAGGCGCAGTGCAAGAGCGAATCCAGAATACAGGATGAATGAGGTCGCATATTCAGCGTCAGAACCATGAGATGATTCACTAAACGTACTAAGGCACGGAGGAGGCCATGAAGCGCGAACGCCTCAACTTTCGCTGACTATGAGATCGTGTTGAATGGCTGGATTGTGATGGTAGTATATCAAGAAGGCATGGTGATATCCTTCAGCATGTGCGAGAAGGAAACTTTGGGTATGCTCCTCTGCTTTGTCTTCGTACAGCAATACATGACAGCCGTGATACACCCATCCAAGAATGACGCCGAGTATTGATCGCCTGCGTCACCAGGTGTATTGAGGCCCAACGGTCGCCTTTATTGTGTTGGATGTTGCCATTGTAATGAAGATCGTCGAGAACTGTCACTGTCGCTCTTCATCTTTCTGCAGAACGAAGTATTCGGTGCCGTAAATCGCCGCTGACGCCAGAGTGGCCCCGCTGAGTGCTAGGGAGACAGGATGACGCGGAGGCGTGAGCGATTTTCGAAGGTTGATTAGAAGATATGTGAGAGACCAGGCTGCGAGGTGTCGGTACAAAAGTCAGAGTATATGTAGACGTGAGACCTTGGATGGCAGCGCCATACCTGTTGTGATACCACTGCCGTTGCGTGCATCGCCGCAAGAAAGCACGTGACCCGCTCCTGTGAAGATGGCTCCGAAGCAGGCACGAAGGAGCAACGGAGGGATTTCGGGTCTTGGAGGTACGAGCAAAGACGTGAAGACTATCGGTGTTCGTTCGAGACAGCATGAACATCGTGACGCATGAGATAACCTCACTTACACAGAGATGCTAGACCCCACACAGGTTTACTGTAGCACCAATAATTACGATCAATCTCTTGCTGTTGTCCATTTCACGATGTGCACGCACGGTGACTGGGAGTAAGGACGGACTAAAGAAGCATACGTGGTCGCATTTTTAACGGTGTCTTGGGGTGTTACGCTCGACATGTCGGCGTACGGATACCTAGGTAGAGTTGTGGCAAGAGCGTTGAGGAAAGCGTTAAGTAGGCGCCCATAACGGTGCTCGCAGCCACAACCGTGCTTCGCTGGTTTCACACAATCGACGTTCTCGTTCTTTAGGGCTGAACAACTTGCGCTGTCGTTCCTGAAACCTTCTTATGTCTCTTCACGATGCTAATGGTTTCGACGAGAAGGAGACAAATGACCTGAACTCGCAAGCTGACCCAGTACTTGTCGCAGACCCCGATTCGCACAGTGAACCGTCGCCAGAGGAATCCGCTGAGGGTCCCACGTCCAACGGAAACGACGAACACGGTGCGTCTGTGACAGACTCAGAAACGGGAGATGAGCAGGGTGTCATCAGGGAGGATGGAGACGAGACCGACGGCAGCAGTGAAGGAGACGGGGAAGAGGACGAAGACGAAGACGATGAAGAGCCAGCTCTTAAATACGAACGGCTAGGCGGCATCGTGCCGAATCTGCTCCAGAAGGACTCCGCGTCTGCTCTTGCATATGCGAACCAACGGCTAGTCAGTCTCCACAGATGCTTGAGCTGCTACGCCATATACGAATGACTCTGTGGTTCTCACTAGTTCTTGGGTACTCATGGTGGAATGCTCCACGTACTGGACCTTTCGGGTCATCATATCAAGTCGTTTGAACCTCACACCGCATCAATCACGGACATCTCGGTAGATGTAAACGGCGAATGGTTCGCCACAGCATCGATAGATGGTAAGTCGTGCATAGCAACTCACCACTGAGCTGCAATTCCGCACAATTGCTGAGCCGCAGATCTGCATTGTTTCCAATCTGGATTCTCCAGGGCAGGCGGTTGTACACTCTTTATCCACCCCCGAGTCGCAGACATTCAACATGAAGCGGTCATTAAGAACCGTCGCTCTGGAGCCGAACTTTACGAAGAGCACCACGCGGTCTGTAGTATGCGGAGGCATGGCAGGAAATTTGGTTCTGCATGAAAAAGGATGGTTGGGATACAAGGAAACCGTCCTGCACACCGGGGAAGGTCCAATCTGGCAAGTTCGTTGGAAGGGCCGATTGATCGCATGGGCAAACGATCTGGTATGCTGATGCTATTCCCGCTTAGTATGACCATTTGCGGAGTATAACACGTCTACAGGGCGTGAAAATTTACGACACGAACTCGCAGACTCGCATCACATTCATTGACAGACCCGCGGACAGCCCTCGAGCAGATCTCTTCAAGTGCACTCTCCATTGGCAGGATGACTCAACGCTGCTCATTGCTTGGGCTGATCAGATCAAGGTCGCTCGTATCCGGGCCCGTCCTCGGACAGCAACTGCTTCATCATCGGCTAACTCGCCGCCCTATCTAGTTGAGATAACTGCAGTATTTCAGCTGGACTGTATGGTAGCAGGCATTGTGCCGCATCCCCTCTCCACATCCTCCGCTGGAGCTGCTGGAGCGGCCGCCTCTCATGCAGCTCATGCTATTGTTGGAGCGACTAGCTCTCCTACGACTACAACCATACCCTCTCCATCACTGACTGCTTTCCTCGTCCTCGCGTATACTCCTCCCGACACATTACTTTTAACTGGGAATGAGGCTACGTCGGATCGCGCAGAACAGGCTCGCAAGGCAGCCGAACGCCCTGAACTACGCATTGTTTCGCGAGCAGGCGAAGAGCTGGCAGCGGACGCCTTAGGCATAGCAGGCTTCGAGCGCTGGAGTTGTAATGACTACGTACTCGTAGACATCCAAGAAGACCAAGTCGCAGCGTCGCCATCCGGAGCGTCCAGGGGACGGTTCTACATGGTACTCAGTCCTCAGGATATCGTAGTAGTCAAGCCGCGCGACTGGCGGGATCACGTAGCATGGTTGGTGGAGCGGAAGAGATATGAGGAGGCCCTGGACGAGCTCGAACATCAGGCGGCGATGGGCGTAACTACGGGACCGGTTGAAGAAGCGATTGATGCAGTCCACATCGGCCAAAGGTACATTGAGCACTTGATCAGCGAAGGTGCATCAAATCGACTGATACGAGTATCGGTATACTAATGCTACAATCATACAGGTGAATTCATCAAGGCGGCGCGCCTCTGTCCTAAGGTTTGTGGACAGGATACAAAGCGATGGGAAGACTGGATTTTCGTTTTCGCCCAGAAGCACCAACTTCAGGTGACACCGGCTTATCTCTGATTTTGTTCAACCATAACTCATTGTGGTAATACAGGCCATCATTCCCTTTGTGCCAACGGAGTCGCCCACGCTCGGACACTTGGTGTACGAGATGATATTGGCATATTTCCTGGCCAATGACCGACAAGTGCGTATGGATGCTCAATATAGGACACAGACGTCTGATCATTTCTGCATGACAGGCACTGCTTCAAACGATCAAGAGTTGGCCGAAAGATATCTATGATATATTTGCAGTCATTGTCGCTGTTCAAGCCGAGCTTGAGCGAGCGCCTTCGTCTTCCTCCATGCAAACAGCAGCACCCGAGAGTGCTATCCTGATGGAGTGCCTTGCCGAACTGTGAGTGCATTGGCTTAGATATTGCACGTCCAAAACACTGACCGCGTTGGTTGCTCAGTTACACCATAAACCGACAACCAGGAAAGGCGTTGCCATACTTCCTCCGCCTCCGACGACCAAACGTCTTTGATCTGATTCGCGAATATAACTTGTTCACTGCAATACAGGACCAAGCTCTCCTGCTTGTCGAGTTCGATCAAGGGCTGATCGACAAACGAAAACAAATTGGGGAGGAAGTCGATCCCGAGAACAGTACTGCCATCAAATTACTTGTTGACCACATACACTCTATACCCGTACGTATAGTCGCTACTTGTGAACACCGTATACTCCACATGTCCGGTGCTGATTAGATCGGCCGTGTTGTGCAACAATTGCAAGTCCGGCCTTACTATCTCTATCTATACCTGGACGCACTCTTCCACAAGGATCCACACCTCACCTCTGATTTCGGCGACTCCCAGGTGCATTTGTTCGTGCGACTCGTCATATAGACGCGTGACAACGGTTTTTCAGGTCAAGTTATATGCCGAATATAACCCAGGTCATCTGATGGAGTTCTTGCGAGCGAGCAATTACTATAACCTGGAGAAGGTACGAACGTGAAGCCTGATTTCGTCCGTCTACTCATACTTCTGCAGGCATATAACATCTGCAATGACCGCGACATGGTCCCTGAGATGGTTTTCCTACTCGGTCGCATGGGTAACAACAAGAAGGCACTCACGCTCATTATTGAACGCCTTGGCGATGTCAGCCGAGTACGTGGAATAGTAATTTTATGGTGCCTCAGCCGTCTCACATGCAACATAGGCAATCGACTTCGCGAAGGAACAACACGACGATGATCTATGGGAAGATCTGCTCAAATATTCAGAGACTAGACCAAGTACGTAACGCTCTCTCTCATCTTTAAACACACGTCACTGGTTCCAAATCTCAGCGTTCATCCGCGGCCTTTTGGAGAATGTCGGCGCAGAGATCGACCCTATTCGACTGATCCGACGTATCAAGAATGGGCTTGAGATCCCTGGGTTGAAGGGTGCATTGATCAAGATCTTGCATGACTTCAACCTGCAGACGTCTCTGCTCGAAGGATGCCAAACTATCATGGATGGAGATGGCGCCGAGCTCGCCCGCAACCTGCACAGGAATCAGACAAGCGGATTCTTTTTGAGTGGTAAGCATAGTCGTGCACTAATGCTGCGCGCCACTTCATCGTTATTACTCGAATAGCACACACGCATTGTCCTGTCTGTTCTTTGCCATTGCAGCACCAGCTGCACGGCCTGACACTGCTATTCCTCTGTCGGCATGTGGTGCATGCGAGCTGCGTCGTGGATGATGCAAGCCTCGCTGAGCAGCTGGATCATAGCCTGGTCGGCATGGGCATTGGCGGACATCAAGGGATCAGTGGAAGAATTGCATAGTAAGTCGTTCACATGCCCGACCATGGTCATGTACTGAGGCATTTCAGCACCGCATTGGCTCGCGCGAGGATCGATAAAGGGTGTTCCGTTTGTCACAAGAAAGGGGAAGGTCAGCGGTTGTGAAGGTTTTCATTTCAGTTCTCAGGAGTTTCTTCTTTCATCTTTCCTAAGCTCGCAAAGTATAATGCTCTCGCGGATGTTTCTGTCGTGCAAGCACTGTACGCATTTACGCATCGCACTCGTTACTAACATCATACGCCTCGAGACACTACACTGGGCCTATCAGATCGGACTGGCATCTCACATGGATTTGTGCAGTTGCTCGCATAGCGTATGTATTCGTCATGCAATGTCATTCGTGTCGACGGCGAAGTACATTCGATACCATATGCTACACAGTTGACGCACTCGGGAGTACCGCGTATCTTGCACGAAGGGTACCGAAAACGTCCTGCAGTTACATATCGCGTGAGTATCGTCGTTGGATAACAAGGATCAGGACGAGCGAGCTCAGACAGGTATATGATTCCGGATAGACAGTTTCCTCAGAGAACATTCGTCTCAGTAGAGGGAGTCTGTGCTGTCATCTCCGTAATCAATGAAACAACAAACACTCACTTAGCGGTTTTTGAAGTAGTCGAGGAGGACGTGAAGACCCTCACTCTCAATACCATAATCCTTGACGACGACGCAAGTACAACCGACAATCTTGCGCGGGTTGCCCTCTCGGTCGATCTTACAGAGACCCGCCCATGTACCGAGGACCTTGGCGTCACCGACTTTGATCAGGTTGATCTTGTGCTCAGCGCAGAGAGCTTCAATCAGCTTGATGTACTCGGCCTCCGTACACGTCTCGACGAGGACGCAGAGGTGAGCCTGGCGTTTGTCGAGGGCCTTAGCACACTCGCGGAGACCACGGGCAAGACCGTCGTGAACGAGAGCATTCTTGAGGACTTGCTGTGGAATATCAAGCTGATCAGGTTGCGCAGCTCAATGACGCTACGAAAGGCTCACCTGAAGCGCGTCCTCGACGGACATCTTACCCTTGGGAGCCTCCGCGGGGACCTCAACCTCCGCCTCCACCTCCACCTGGGCCTCATCGACCTGAATTTCATCTCCAGCGTCAGACATCCTGCAGAGAAGCGGGTGTATCAGTATCAAGCTGCTGCTGTGGAGTGACTCGCATACTTTGAGAATAATATGCAGAAAATGCGATGTCTTCGTCCGCTTTCGTTGATGTGAGGAAAAGTAGAGTTCACGTAGCCGAGCATATTTAGGCGGTTGAAACTCCGTCGGCAAGTGCCAGTGGCTGAGAACGGGGCGCGCGCTAAGTCGCGTCTTGCGTTTCATTCTTCACTCATTGACTTGACCCTCTGTTCCGTCCCGCTGCAAGAGATCTCCTCAGACACGTCACGAGATGGTACGTATAATGCATAACCTGGAGGTCCTCATTGAATTTGGCTCGTTCCAGAGTCTTGCATACTTACACGCTCAAGACTGCAGCGAACGTACGAATTGCTCGCCATGATCGCATCCATGTCACGCTAATCTCCGGAAACAGCTCATGGGGATGCAATCTGGGGAGTTGCATGGACCGAGACCGACTCAGTCTTGAGCATATCTGCGGATGGCACGATCAAGCAATGGGACTCGAACTCTGGCCAAGTCTCCCGCGCTCAGCCTGCGCATACACACGGCCTTGTCTCTCTTGATGTGGATCCTTCTGGGAAGCGCGCCCTATATAACAGCTTGGAAGGGATGACCTGCCTGTGGAATCTGGAGAGCGGTGAGATAGATGGGAAGTTTGAGAGCTATGTGAGGTCTGGTGCCGAACAAACTGAACCTTGTGAGTCGACGTCCGTGTATGCACGTGGAGGTTTTTCTTTTTTGACTGGCCCACACTCATTGATCTCGTGGAACGCTGACGTTCGTGCATATAGCTTGGTCCGTGTCGTTGCATCCGAGTGGCGAAACTTATGCATCAACGGGCGGTTCAGGCAACGTAACAATCCACTCCGCAGAAAGCAAGTCATTCGGCGAGCGTCGTGCAACCTTGAAGAGCGGTCGCGCAAAATTCGGCATGTTTTGCAAACATGTGGGTCATTCATGAGCTGCGTTTTCAATTCACGGCGAGTTGTCTGTGTCTGTTCTGCTTGTTGTTATATGTTCTCCTTTTTTGCTAAGGGATCGAGCAGCAGCTAATTGACATGCTCATCCCATCGATCAGAGTCCAGATGGGAAGCGAATCGCAATGTCCTCGGAGACAGGACAGATTTACATCTTCGATCTCGCATCCTCGTCCTTAGTCTCGACGTATACATCGCATGCGATGGCTGTGCGCTCGTTGGCCTGGTCTGCCGACTCGCAAGTGAGTCTGTCGACTTTTATGATGCTGACGTAGTCGCTCAATGGCAAATGCAGTTACTCATATCTGCATCCGAGGACAAACGACTGATCCTGCATGATGTTCGATTGTCACCATCCGGCAAGCCTGGTTCGGGTGCTGTCGCCAACTTCTCTGGACACTCTTCATGGGTTCTTTGTACGGACATCTCGCCTGACGGACGTCTCGCACTGTCCGGGTGTGTAGTACTGCTCTTCTTTCACGACGTGGCGATGAAATTGATCCTGTGCGTGCAATAGCTCTGCAGACAAGACCATCAAGGTATGGGACCTATCGGCGCGTGCAGCGGTGTCGACAATTCAGGATACTGGGGAAGTCTGGGGCGTGTCGTGGCGTCCTCGGCCATCCGGCACCAACGCTGCTGGTGCGTTCGTGAGTGGAGGGGAAGACGGTACGGTAAGATGGTGGAGGGCGGCAGGGACGAGCTGAAAAGTGTATGGTGTAGCTGCTACTGTACTATCTTGCTCATCATTTGTACCAAAACATACATGAATCGAGTCACTGTCTTCTATAACTCTTAGATGCTCGTGATACGTGAGGCGAGCCGTGCTTCTTTCTTGCCAGACTCACCACCATCAGTCTGCTCTATCCGTCCTTGCCTTGCCTCGCTCCTGATTGAGACCTGCACCTGCAAGGAACGAGATCCTCATCAACGCCCCCACGTAGACAAAACCCACGCTCCCCGCCTCCATAGCGTTCCACTGCATAAATTCAAGGAACACGCGCGCAAAACCCTTCTCTAACGCAAGCGGGATCATCGTCGCCAGATGCCCGAAATCCGCCATGAGCAGGCAGAAGAGGAGCCGCTGCCAGATGCGTATCGAATTGGTGGACGAGAGGACGAGGTGCTCGTTCAGCGCGAAGAGGAGGTAAAGGTTTGATAGTTGATAGAGCGAGATGAGTGTCGAGGTGGGAGGCAGCTCGGATGTGGGCATCGACGAGAAGGACAGATATGCCAGGTACTCGGCCGGTTTTCCAGCAGCATAGTAAGCACCGACGAGTGCAGATATGGGCTCGAGGTAGAGGAAGAAGAGTCTGTATGGGAGAGGAATAGGGTTGCTGTCGTTCGCCATTGCAATGAAGATGGTCGTCCCAGACCAAGATGCGCGGGAAATACCATCGCCGCGGAAGCATAACGATCGCCATCCATCACAGCGTCCTTCGTTCATGCATTACAAAATAAATCTCATAGCAATCTACAAACGAACTCGGCCTGCAGGGCACTGACTACAAATGTCAATGTTCTACGGTAGTAGTCCATTCACACAACCTCCCGCTTCTCCTCTATCGACGATGTTCCGTCCTCGTCTACATTCGTGATCGGTCCAGTGAACCACTTGCGAGCCGAGACAATCCATGATGCAGACGCGAAGATGAACACGGCCATAATGATGACGACGGCGTAGTCTGCGAAATATAAGTAAGCGCTTGAGGTCAGTCATGCTCTGTCAGGAAACGACGCACTCATTGTATCTGCCGTGGGATACTGGTACGACGGAAACAGTAAAAGAATGACAATGAAAGCAACCCATGCGCAGGCGATGATGTTCAGAGGGATATGCCACTGGCCCAGGGAGAACGGACCCTTCACCAATTTCTCCCGCCCAGATGTCAGGCGAAGAAAGATCGGAGTGACATACGAGGTATACAGTCCAATCACCGCTGCACTGCAAAGCACGAGTAAATAGTATATTCGTCATAACCCTGCCTGATCGCCACTCACCCTGCAAGCGAGGAAAGCGCTGTCTCCGAGAACCCAAGCAAGCCACAGATCCCCGCAAGCACCATGACGAGCCACACCCCATTCACCGGTGTCTGCGTATGGCTGTTCATGCGCTTCCACCAGCGCGACCCAGGAAGCGCGTTATCCCTCGCAAACGCAAAAACGACGCGCGAGGCATCGACGCCCTGCGCCGCACCCGTCACGAACTGCACGACGATGATGAAGCTCCAGATCGCGAGCATGCCACGGCTACCGAGGACGTTGACGAAGAGCTGTGCCATGGGCAATGGCAGGTTTGTGGCGAGGAGATCGGAGACGGAGGCGGTGGCGAAGGACGCGGCGATGAAGAGGATCCAGCCGAGTGAGGCAGTCGCGCCGACGCCGACCAGGATGGCGATGGGTGCCGCGCGGGCTGCACCGCTGGTCTCCTCGGCAATGTGTGCAGCGGAATCATCTGCGGACATGTCAGGTCTAGTTTTAGAGTGAGAGACGGTATGCCTACATCCGGTCAACGTCCACATCGGTGCGGTGAAGGCCAGCAGGAACGCCCAGCCATCTGAAAGTCGTCAGCTCAAGCGTTATGTGAGCCTCTCTATGACGTACTGTTTGACCATCCGGTATTGTTCTCAAAAAGCGTGAATGCGTCTTTTGTCGAGACTTTGTTATCGCCAGAGCACACCAGCAGCGCAATGATCGCTGCAATAGATGTCCCCACTGATCACGGTACGAACTAGGATCAACGTTCTCGGACGGTAGCGGACATACCACTCGCCATTAATGATGACATAGAAGAGGTTGATCCGCGCGAGGAACTTGGTGCCTGCGGAGCAGACAATGCCGTGTGCGAAGAGGATGGCACAAAGGATGCCGTAGGTAGGGCCGGCGCCCAGGACGGTGGATCCGTTCGAACCAACGGCGATCGCGCTGGTGATCATCTGAGCGCTGTTCATAGCGGCGATCAACGGGAGATCAGTGAAAGGCGGGACGTAGAGAAAATGTTTTGACGCACCAGGTGTAATCAATTGAAGTGACGAGGGTCACCTGGCCAGTGACGTTCGCCCATCCGGTGATCCAGCTAGCGAGTGCGGCGTATTTCGGCGGAGCTAGCTTTGCCGAGAAGTAATACAGACCCGCGCTCGTTCTGTAGTTTCAGATGAGTCAACATGGACCGGTACCCACGCGGGTTCCTGAAGATGGCTCACGGCATGGATGAAGCAAGCTCGGCCATGGACGCTGCTATGGTCATCACGAACAGCGATGGGATGAGCCATCCAAACACCATCCCGACGTGTCCACCTGTCCGTAACGTAAGCTTGTGTAACTAGAACAAGTCTATCTTAACCTACCGGATGCCAGCGGGAACGAGAAGGTCGACGATACAGATGCAATTACGCCCATGATAGAGAAGGCAAATGCAATCGTCTCGATGAGCTATAACAGCCCTCTTTAGGATGCTAATACACCTAACACTGCACACAATTACTTACCGAGAACTCACGCCTGAACTCGGACTTGTACCCGAGCTCAGCGAGGAGCGCATCATCGGTCTCGAAGGCGCGCTGTACGGCACCACCGTGGGCATACCCAGAGCCCACAGGGACCTCCGTAGCGGTGGTGACTGTCTGCTTCTCGCTCTTGGACCCTAGATCGGACATAGTAGGCAAATATCTCGTAAGAGCGTCTGCGAAGTCAGGGCAGGACAAAGAAGAAGGGGAAAAAACGACGCACGGACGCCGTACGAAGACAGTGGACTTGATATACTCACGGCATGCTTCAGAAGCCAAGGAACAAATGATGCGGCTGGAGCGGAGCGTATGTCTTTGCGATAGCCCACATCGCGGTTAATACCGAACGCCGCTCATATCTATGCGCTGAATCTCGGCTACGGCAATCCTTTGCGAACAGCAAATATCGGCATCTGGTCAGTCCTCGCAATGCATTTTTGCTGAAGCAAAAGCGTGTTACCGCCATTGATGTGCGGGTAGATGGCGGTTGAGAAGCGCGTATTTTGCGCCACTGAGGTGGCGGCCACGCGTGTCGCGTCTCCGCCACCGGGTGTTGATTCGAGTGTTCCCTTATAAGCATTATCTTATCCTCCTTATCGCTCGCGTCCATTTGCAAACACATTTTTCTCTCAGCATCGCTATCAGCAGATGATTCTCGCCACACGACTATACCAATGACGGACGGTCGTTTCGCATGCTCGAACACGAAGCACAGCAAAGGAGGAATTATTAGTGTTGAGCAAGGCTGAGTGTACCTCATGAGAACGCCCAAGGCTCCCCATCGGAAGTCGCGATGCTGCAGCGCACCATGCCTAGCCTATCGTGAGACTGGCCCCTAGATATATGTTAAAACGTCTCTCCTATCTCTCGAGTCACACAGCTGCGCCCAGAGTCCGCTGAATAGTAGCCGGACCTGTATACGCTCGCGTGCCGCTCTCCTGGACATACCCATCATCCATTATGCCCCGCAGGATACTCATTGGCTTTGGCGTCGACGTGGACGCCGTCGCCGGATGGTGCGCATTCTGCAATATGTCCCTCTCCGAGTTGCTGAGAAGGCCCAAGGCTCGGCTCATACGGAGGCGAAGACTCTCCGTTGGACATTTCCAGGGTATTCTATGAGCCTTCTTGCTAGCGTCGCTTGCATTTAGGGGACCCTTCCAACAGGGGATGTATGCGGGTGAAGTAGGCGTGCCTCGCCTGCTCAAGCTCTTCAAGAAGTACAATATAAAGACGACTTGGTTTATTCCTGGTTCGCTTCAAATGCATCGGATGACATTGGCTGGCATGAACCAATTCTTCGCCAGGACACAGCCTGGAGACCTTTCCAGAACAGATGGCTGCTGTTCGGGACGCGGGCCATGAGATGTAGGTAACCTGTAACCGAACTCCTTGACGCATGTTCACAGTGATTTTCAGAGGACTTCACGGCTATTCGCACGAGGTGAGGACTTTCTAATCGAAAGCACGACAGCGAAGTCACCGTAGCTGCTGCAGAATCCCGTATCGTTGACAGTTCAACAGCAAAAGGACATCCTTGACTACACCTATGATTTGTTGACGAAATTCAACAATGGGATACCACCCAAAGGAAGTGTCGCGCCATGGTGGGAGACGAGCGCGGAAGGTACAGATTTACTCCTCGACAAGGGTATCGAATATGGTATGTTGCGACCGTAATTACCCCGTTCGATTTCGATACCCACCTTGATCTCAACACTACTTATTCAGATCACTCGAATATGGCTCATGAGTAATGATCATTTCTTCTCTCATCCTTCCTGCTTTCACGTGCGTATCAGCTCCCAGGCATACTACCTGCGTGATCAGGACATCTGGACCAAGATCGACTATAAGGCCGAAGCGCATACTTGGATGAAGCCCTTGGTTCGCGGCAAAGAAACAGGTATCGTCGAGTTGCCCGGCAACTGGTATGTTTTCGTATACCTGATTAGCGTCACCTAAGCATTGTTTGTCATGTTTCTCCTATAGGTACCTCGATGATCTTCCTCCGATGATGTGAGGGCCGTCAATCACACAATATTGTTTCAGAATGTTGATTGTCCCTGTTTAGGTTCATCAAATCTAGTTCCAACTCCCACGGCTGGGTTTGTGTGCTTATGGATGATATTCATCGCGCCGCTCACATATACCATCAGGTCAACGCACGCGACGTCGAGCAGCTCTGGAAGGATACTTTTACATACCTATACAGGTGAGTTCGTCGTATATGAATCGTGACACGGTTCGTGTATGAACCTCGCCACCAGAGAGGAAGAGAACTTCATCTTCCCGATCACTATCCATCCGGACGTCAGCGGGTGCGTACTCGCTTCATATGCTTCTTCATCCCTGTAAACACGCTCACCTACGCATCAGCCGCCCTCACGTTCTCCTGATGCTTGTAAGTATCCGTGCACTTGTATCAAACACCGCCACCGACCATTCTGCACAGGAGCGCTTCATCGAATGGGTCAACATCCACAAGGACGTTCACTGGGTATGCATGGCGGACATGGCGCGAGAGTTCCGCGAGCGCAACCCTCCACCAGCAGGTGCTCGCATGCCCAAGGGCATGGAGATCAAGTCTTGAGCTTAAGGGGAAATGTGGCCAAACTTGTTGGGTTGTCGGCTTTTTGCTGGAGGGCACTTGGGTCTGACGGCGTAGTCAAGTGCTCAAAACCCATGTATTCCATATGTCTCGTAATCTGTCTTCAACACTGGGTTAGGAACACGTGTCTAGCTCAGCGGCACAGTCGAAACCGATCGCAATCTTCGATCGAGTGGCGCAAGAGCTCGCTCTCAACCTCACCAGCATCCTATAGCCAGTCCTTGTCGAGTTCATAGCCCGAGTCGTAATTCATAATCCGTGTTGAAGTTTTCATCAAAGATCTTGGCAACCGATTAATCATGCAAATGGACATACAAACTATTATATACAAGAGTCATTCATACTACGTGCAAACATGATGCCATCGCGTCCACATGCTCATATTTGGTTCCTTGCCTGCCGCAGATAGGGCGTCTTGATGCATTGATGGCCTATATTAGGCATAGAAATTTGACCGGCTACCTATGCCCCAGGGTTCCATATAGCCGTACACCAATTTCTGGCGATGTCTGGTCCCGCAGCCACCGACCACGTCCATTCATCGTTCGTTGAACGCATCGAAGACAAGAATGCAAGCGTCGAGGAAAAGGTCGGGGTAGAAGAAGAGCTCCAAATCGAACCAGATGCTTCAGGCCCGCGTCGGCCGCTCTGGAAGCGGATTTTTGCAGGAGATGCGGACGATTCGCACCAGACGAAGCGGGGAATGGGCAGCCGTCATCTCACCATGATCGGTACCTCTGTCGCTGCCGTCGCGCATTTGGGTTTGTTCTGAACTATTCTAATGTAGCGATTGGAGGCACGATTGGCACTGGGATCTTTCTGAGTGCTGGGGAGGCACGGAGTTTCACATACTTACACTCCACCTAATCGTCTGATATGATGTTTTGATAGGCGGTGGCCACGGCCGGGCCAGGCAGTGCAATCCTGTCCTACTTCATCGTTGGCGTCTTCTGCTACGGCGTCGTCATCTCATTGTAATTCCTCTCCACTCTCGTATGATGATATACTGATGTTCTCAAGGGGCGAGATGGCATCTTATATTCCTGTCTCAGGGAGCTTTGCTGTGTTTGGAACTCGCTTTGTGTCTCCTGCGCTGGGGTTCACGCTCGGTAGGAGGAGCTGCTATAAGACTTCGGAGAAATGCTGACCTGGTTGCTTGCAGGATGGAATTATTGGATCCAATGGTAAGGTCACCTCCTGGTTGCTCAACCGAAGCCGATGACATTATACATATACACTCGCAGGAGCCTCTCGATACGTACGTATCTCTCTTTGAGCATACCTCCGCTGATATACTTATCTCCGTGACTACAGCAAGCGAACTGACAGCTGCGGCCGTCATTCTACAGGTAAACTTGTCCTCGTGGGCTCAGATAGCGAACGAAATTCTTATGCTGCAGCATAGTTCTGGGACGCACGGATACGGCCCTGGGGGTGGGCATTGATCATAATTGCACCTATATTTATTATGCAACTCATCCATGTCAGAGTATATGGTGCGCTTGCGCATGTTGGATCGAACGCAGATCATGTTGCTTACGGACATACAGGAGAGTCCGAGTACTGGTTTGCCATGATCAAGGTCATTCTGATCATCCTGTTCATTATCGTCGGCCTCATCTACGACTGGGGAGGCATTCACAAGCACCCCGGGCCTGCGAGTCTTCCCAACTTCATAGATCAAGTATATTAGTAACAAGTATCATGTGAACAGGGTTTGTCCAACTTTCAGAACGGACAAGCATTCATCGGGGGATTCTCCGCCTTCGCGCAGACGTTCGCCGACGCCTTCTACTCATACGGTGGCGTCGAGCTCGTCTCACTCGCAGCAGGCGAATATGCATCTCCTCACAAGAGCGTGCCTCGCGCTGTCCGGGCGACCTTCTTTCGCATCCTCTTATTCTACATTCTGACTATCCTGACGATCGGGCTCTGTATCAATTGGGACGACCCGACGTTGCTCAACTCGGCATACAGTAGGATACATGCTTAAGTTCTCCCTACGCTAGACAGCTGATTAGTATCCACTAGACTCGGACGTCGCAGCGTCACCCGTGACGGTCGTCTTCCAGCGCGCCGGGTTCGGCGCAGCCGTGCACGTAGTCAACGCCGTCCTCCTAACTGCCGTCCTCTCCGCCATCAACTCCTGCTTCTACGCCAGCTCCCGCATGCTGCTCTCCCTCGCGCAGAACGGACACGCTCCGCGCATGTTCGGATGGGTCAATAGGCGAGGAGTGCCGGTACCAGCCCTCGTGTAAGTTTAGGTTTCGTTCGGGCCGATGCAGTACAAGGATGATCTGACATTCCTAGGGCCCTCTAGGATGGCACTCGCCATCTCCTTCCTGACCTTCTTGACCGACATCTGGGGCGAAGGCGTAGTCTTCACGTGGCTGCTCAACCTCACAGGAATCTCCGCACTCTTGACATGGGGGTCCATCGGTCCTATATCCCTCCGATTCCGACAGGCATGGAAAGCACAGGGTCGCTTGTTGGATGACTTGCCGTACAAGCAGCCGCTGTTCCCGCTTCTCCCGCTCGTCACGATTATCTTGGCAACGCTGATGTTCACTGCAGAAGGCTACAGCGCAGTGGTAGAGTCGCCATTTGATTGGCGGGTACGTGTAACGCCTCGTTGGGGCGAGAGATAATCCGCTGATAGTATGACTGGCAGAACGTGGTGGCGACGTACATCGGTGTCGCATTGTATATTCTGCTATACGTCGGATATACGCTTTACGAGCTTTTATTCCTCGGAAAGTGGGATCATTTTGTCCCTCTGCTGCACGTTGACCTCGACACAGACGCCGTGTGGGGCCCGGGAGAGGGGAGACTTGTCAAAGAACGCGAGCTGCAAGAGAAGCAGCAGAGACAGTTGGAGGGTCGAGGCAGGATAGGAAAGTGGATACGGAGGGCTTTCTCAAGTGTATGACGTGCAACGGCCGTCTAGTGCGACTTGGCTCACACTGTTCAGATCACCCTGCAGCCTCTGCAGGATGCCCATGAGTTTCAGGAAGGACATAGGAGACGCCGAGGCTCCCTTGCCGCTCGCTCCAATGAACGTTCTCAATTCCCCCGCTGTGACTCCTCGCTTGTACTCACTGAGGTATTTAACTGCGGTAGGCATTTTGAGTCCAGTCAATCGCACGACTTCGTTCAGCAATTGGTATTCGTCCATCGTGCCGCAGCTTTCACAGCTTCGGTACACTCCTAGGAACGTTTGGCCACGCCCGTTCGCTGTGAGCAGGTGCGGATGGATGAAAAACCGATAAGGCCGGGAAACGAATATCACGCGAGGGTGCGTAAGTGGGCGGTCTGAGGGTATGTCCGGGTTCGACAAATCGAGACCGATTCTGGGAGAGCGGAAGATTCGCGGCCGCATGGTGTCCGGAAAGCGCTCTATCCGCTCGAGGCTCAGTGATATGACCGGCGTCTCCTCGAAACCTTTGTCCTGTGCGGTCGGAGGAAAAGCAGAGATACAGCCTTTCCACTTCACTGTGACGAGTTCTGTGATGCTCGACGCTCCGCTAGCACGGAGGATCTCATCCACGAGTAGAGAAGGTCCCGATATTACCTTTGCGTCAGAGCATCGACGAATCGTTCGCAGTAGAACGCCACCACGATCCTTAGGGCGTTTGCTGCTTGCGTCAGACGTCTCGGCAGCAAAACCCTGCGAGACGCGTGTCCTGGAGCTGCTTATTGTCAGATCGAGACCCTTTCGAGTTCCTCCTCTGTACCCGTTCGTTCCGACGGGAGAGTCCAAGGACGTGATAGACTTGCGCGGAGCGCGATGGAAGTACCTGTAGCAACGTGAGCAGTGGATTCAATGTCATATCATAAAGTTATCACCATTGTCCGCTCTCCTTTTGTTCCTCGCTCCCATGCGTAAACGGGTCCTCGTGGCAGCCAGGTCTGAAGTAGTATAGTTCCAATTCCAGTATCTGGTACGCCGTGCGCGTCGCTCCGTTCGACACCACCAGATGATGATCCTGCACGAGAGAGCGAGCAATCGAGTCAAATTGAGGCAGTATATCTTCTTCGACAGATACGGGGCTGAGATGGAGAAGTTCTTCCAGGGACGGATCACTGTGAACAGCTTGTGATAGCACACGATCGAGTTTCTTGTCGAGTATTGCATTAGAGGAATCTGAGTTCTGTAACTTCAAACTCTTGGGTGCCTTGGGCGAGTCAAGATCACCTGTGAATTCATCAGCGCGCATTCTCTTGAGCATTGAATATATTGAATGTTAGCGGGTGGAGCGAAGAGTTTTCTATGAAGATTGAATGGCCGACATTGCAGCAGTGACAATATAACTAATCACGTGCATGTGACGAGACGCGTTGACAACGTAGACGCGCTCACACGCACATCACACGGCTTTGTTATGTCGTCGCTCCTTTCATTCAACTTTCAGGATTTCATTTATTTGCGCAACGTACGTTGATTTCTTGATATCTCTTAGCTTGAAGGCATCACTCTTTCCTACAAATCTATATTGCAGTTGATACCCACCGATCGTGTTGCGAATCGACGATCAGTATGTGATGTCGAGAGCTCGCTCATTCATGTTGACGATCCAACCCAGCTTGCTAGTGTCTGAACAATCCAACACCAAATACCTCAACATCTTCCTCGATCGCATCATACCTGACAATGCGACGTGCAACACCATCCTTTCTTGCTGCTGTCCTGCAGACATCATAGCGCTATCGAGGACATGCAAGGGCGTCCGGCCGAAAACGATGTGCTTCATGACCCGCGCATACGACATCAACCACCATCTCCTCCGCTTTTTCGATGAGCCCACCAAATTTCGATCGCTCCAAGCGCGCACTGGAACGCTAATATCCGGATCCTTCGCACTGCAGTTCTTCGACCGAACGGTCTATCCCGAATCCGATCTCGATCTATACGTCCACTTGCCGCGCAGAAAAGAGGTCGGACACTGGCTGCTCGCAGAAGGCTATTCCTTCGCGCCAAATACTAAGCAGGACCCCGATTTCGACAACGCCGTGGACGACGAGAGAATCCTCGTCCGAGATGGGATCTATACCATGCGCGGAGTCGCTGCCGTGTTCACCTTCACCAAGAAGGTGAGGGACACTGAGACGGAATGCAAAGTGCAACTCGTAATTGGGTCAAATAGCCCCATGGAGATCATCCTCTCCTTCCACTCCAGTAAGTGCACAAAGTCTCAAGAGCACGTTGCATGCCCAATATCATACTAGCGTGCGTCATGAACGTCATATCATACGAAAAAGCGTACTCCCTCTATCCTCGCGCGACTTTCAAAGAGCGCAGGTCCCTCGTCTGCGCCACCGACGGTCCCAAACAAGAGCCCGCCATCGAAAAGTACAGCGCGCGCGGCTGGCAAATGCTCCGCAAGCTGTCCAGGAAAGAGCGGCGTTCGACTAACTGTTCCTTCAGGGGTGGCTCGCGGTGGATCGCCGATCACGACAGCTGGGTCATCGAACTCGACTTGGCCGGGGTCGATCTCTCCCCTGCGCTGTCGTCCGCCTCGCTGCCGCTCGTCTGTGATCCCGTGGCGGTTACGAACTGGACGCTGCAGTTCTCAAATTACGAGCCGCACGGCATGGAGTTCACCGTTGTTAGCACTGACAAGCTCTACTACGAATAGGTCGTGGGTGAGGCCTCGGACTTATATGACAATGCGAAGTGGTCGGTTTCAACGCGAAAAAACGTGCATCGCGAAACCACCGCAATCAAATAGTATGCCCGCGTCTACCTTCTAGTGTGCCCAGCGTTCACATCGACTTCTCCAGTTATGACGGGGCTTTCATGGCTTGCAGCCTGGCCATTTTGAAGCAACAGCAAAAATCCGGTTTCATACCATGAACAGCCATGTTAGATCGTGCGCATATCAGTGGAATTCTATGCGGCTATTTCCTTTCGTTTGCTCGCGTCCTTTTTGTACTATTAGCCGTACCAGTCGATACTTTGTACCACCAACTATCCTGCTTTGACAACTATGCTGTAGATCCTACCGTGTATATGTATCGATGTAATCAAAACCTCAGGCCTCAGGTTTCAAGGGTTGTCATTCTCTTTCTGCCAGCACATATCATGGCAATTGCGTCTGCAGAGCGCCCTGTACGCGCGGGAGATTACCAGCCACCGGTCATCCATCATCAATCAGATGTCGATGGCACTCACAATGAGATCAAAACACAGCGGATTAATCAACACATCTATTTTTAAACCATGTAACGACAGACGAGGTGTTGGTATGACTTTCTATGATATCGGAAGTACGGTACAGATGTATCCAGGATAGAACAATTGTGGGCTAGAATGCGTAATGGTGGATGATGACGAGATGTGTGTGTATGTAGGGAGTAACGGAGGTGGTGGTGGTGATAATGAACAAACAGACAACATCGATGGAGAGAACAGTGGACACTGAACAGAAAGACGAAAACAACAGCAGGTCCGCTGCAACACGAACTAACAGACAACAGACAACGCGAGACACCAACACAAACATGCAAGACTTGAGGGACGACCGGACAGCCTAACGCTGATTACGTCGTCCCCTACTTACCTACGAACCCTTGAAGAACCGCAGCAGCGCGTCCCTCACCTGCTCCGCATGGCTCAACAACACACCATGCGGTGCACCCTCGATCGTGATAAGCTCCGCCTGCGGCACGAGCGCACGCACGCGCGCCGCCGTCGCATACGGCACCACATGGTCCTTCGTGCCCTGCACCACACCATCAGCTTCAGTATAGAAACACGACAACAACAACACAGCGCACACACCCAGATAAGCAGCACGCGCATCCCCTCCTCAGCCCTCCGTCCGATCGCCTCATACGCGCTGGAAAGCCCGCGCACGGGCCCGTCTCGCAGAGAGGACGCGACGGCCGGGTTGAACCCTGGAAGGTACGCCGACTGGACGCGCACGAGCTGCGGTGGAGGTGAGCTCAGCGGCTCATCGGTACGGCGGACATTGCGCACCTCGGAGATTGGATCCTCCCATGGCTCGCTGCTCGTGAGATGCTGCAGGTATTTCTGCGATATGAGAAGTGAGAGGTGCGCGAAGGATACGAGAATGGTGGATAACAAGGACCAGACGCGGGAATGGAGACGTCATCCCCTCAGTATCTACGTGGACGACCAGAACGAATAATCACGCACCCGGAACGGATAGCTCGACGTGAAGAACTGCATTAGTGGCGACGACAGGAACTTGGCCGTCCGCGAGAGATCGGTCGGCTGCGCGCCAGGATCACATCAGCATGCGATCAGTAGACAGGATAAAGTAACGATGCAGGAGTCCATGTTGCTCGAGGCAGCAACACAGGTTTCATGTGCCATGATGAGATCCAGGTACAAGGGCATCCAGACTGCGAAAATCCAGGAGAGCGGGATGGGATGACAACCGCTGCGCACCTCGATCAGGCCACTGCACGCGACCAGGGCGAGTCTGTCCGAAACGAGCTGTGGGAACTGTGCCGCAAAGGCGACAGCGATTCCTCCGCCCTATCGGCGCAGGTAAGACCAAGCCCACATCGAATACGCATTGCGAGACAAACGAGATAGCCCGTGTGGAGTGACGGAACGTGCAGCGATAAGTAAAGGGAAGGTGACGAAGCAGCGCGAGCGCATGACATACAATGGGAAGGACAAGGAGCAGAGACCCAAAGCACAGAGCGCAGAAAGATCACGTTACGCGGGTAGCACAGAGCGTAGGCGGCCGATAAGGTGGGCGTGGAGACGCGTAGCAGATAGTCATGTGAAGCATAGGCGCAGGCGGGAAGGCAGTGTCGTCCGATTCCAGCATCGGAGGAACGCAGGGAGATGAGAACAGGGAGACGTTGGGGTGCACGACGGCGATGCGCGGTATCAGGGATGGAACAGAGGCGCCGGTGTGTGAAACGTGATGGGACGACGAAGGCGGTGAGTGCCTAGTGCGACACAGGGGGAACGGGGCGACTCACCATTGACACACCGACGACATGTGCCTTCGTCCAGCCGATGTGCTGCATGAGGAGGGCGAGCTGGCTGGTATAGAGGACGGTGTCGTACGTCGTCTGAGGAGCGTCAGAGTAGCCACGGCCATAGAGATCTATGAGGAGATATGAGCAGGAGAAAAGGTCAGCGCAGAGAAGGGTACGCGTACCGTAGAGGAGGACGCGGTAACCTGCGTCGGCTAGTTGGGGAGCGACGTGCTGCCAGATGATGGCAGGGACGGAGAGTCCGTGGATAAGAACAATCTGCGAGAATGAAGATGCAATAGGACTCGTCGGTGTCATGCAAGGTCACAATCATGGTGCTCACCCGTTCGCCGTCCTCAGGCCCGATAAGCCAGTATCGGACCTAGAGCCAACAATGTGGCGCGTGGAGTTAGTGAGCGCAGTATGGACGCACCTTGCCCATGGGGAGTGAGACATATGCCCCACCCTCCCAATAATCAACGGGGTATATTTCTCGGGCGGAGGAGTCCGGCGGGAGGGAGGCGAGGGAGGGGTGCAGCGTGCGTGTGGCTGGAGCATTGGGGAAGGCCGTGACGACGACTGCGAGGAAGACGGCAGCGGGGAGGGCGAGGAGCATCCATTGCACCAGAGAGGAGTCTGCTCGCGGAGAGCGCATGCAGGGCAGAGCTAAGATGAAAGTGATGGACGGGCGAAAGGGCAGTCACACCCCAGACATGGAACCATTTTTTATAGTTACATATGCATGCTATATCTGGTTTGGTATTTTCTCTTTACAACATGTATATATATTTGCATTGCATTTGACATGGTATATTCCAAGTTTGGCACTTGACTTGCTATCACTGCAGACATGAAGCGATTTGCACGCGTGGCAAATGCTTAGCAAATGTCAACAGGTTTTTTGCCTTTGTGATCTCAATTTGCTATGGTTCCTTCCCACATTCCGTATTAAGTATTTGCATATGATATGTTGGAGGCAGAAATTTAAAATCATATATTTTAATAAATGACACCATTTTCAAACTCACCAAATACATTTAGAATTTGAGTGCTGTTGAATGTAATCATACATTTTTGAATTCCCAAACCATCACATGTATACAATATCCAGTAGCAGATGAAGGTGTAATTACGGTGAATGACTTTCATTCTAGTAATCTTGGTTAGAATGACTTCAGTAGGGAAGCAGAATGTAGGCATAATTACACCTTCATCTGCTACTGGATATTTTATACATGTGATGGTTTGGAATTCAAAAATGTATGATTACATTCAACAGCACTCAAATTCTAAATGTATTTGGTGAGTTTGAAAATGGTGTCATTTATTAAAATATATGATTTTAAATTTCTGCCTCCAACATATCATATGCAAATACTTAATATGGAATGTGGGAAGGAACCATATCAAATTGAGATCACAAAGGCAAAAAACCTGTCGACATTTGCTAAGCATTTGCCACGTGTGCAAATCGCTTCATGTCTGCGGTGTATAGTGACAAATTGGCATCATATATTTTATCCACATCTTCAGCATGAATTTGAAATAATCTGAATGAGGTAATGCAGCATAGCATGTTCATCACAAAGCAGTCTCACCGCAGACATGATGGCATTTGCAACTATGGCATATGCTGAGTTAGTCTTTTGGCTTTGTAAGTGATATTTGCAATGGTGTCATTTTGTATCTCAGATTGTGAAAATGCAATAAAATATTCAGTGATCACAGATTAGTTACGAACTTTTTGAGATATGCAAGCATTGTGCATATTTAAATGATATGTCAAAATTTAGCACTGTGAAATTTGAGTCACAAATTATATATATTAGATGACATTTGCAAGTGCAGCAGATGAAGATGCAAAGGGTAGATTCAGTCAAGAAGGCTACATTCAACATTCCATAGCAGAAATTTACATAAACACATGCAACACCGTTGATACAATCTGGCACGAGGTGTAAGGTGTATTAATTCTGATGTTGAATATAGGCCTCCTTGACTGAATTTACCCTTTGCATCTTCATCTGCTGCACCTGCAAATGTCATTTAATATATATAATTTGTGACTCAAATTTCACAGTGTTAAATTTTGATATATCGTTTAAATATGCACGATGCTTGCATATCTCAAAAAGTTCGTAACTAATCTGTGATCACTGAATATCCTATTGCATTTTTACAATCTGAAATACAAAATGACACCATTGCAAATATCACTTATAAAGGCAAAAGACTAACTCAGCATATGCCATAGTTGCAAATGCCATCATATCTGCGATGTCTCTCACCCTGTAGATAGCAGTGTATGTATACACATTTGGAGCAGGGCCACATTCTGTGCCCAATATTTACAATTTGTACATGGATATAATATGTAACGTTACATTGCTATCATTGCAATTTGAATGCTAAATTTGCAATATACATCACTGCATGCAACAGAAAAAATTTGTTCTCTAAAAGCAAAATACCAAACCAGATTTAGCATGCATATTTTACTGTGAAAAATGGCTCCATGTCTGAGGTGTCAAGGCATGCCGATCCAGCATGCCAAAAGACATGACACATTTAATTTCAGACTCCACATGACTCGTGGTTAGTGATGTGCCAGGCCCAGCCTCAAGCCATAAGCCGTGTCGAGCTGAGCCCAAAAAAGCTGAGTCAGGCTGGGCCCTGAAGGTCGGCCTCACAGGGCTCATGGCCTGGCTTGCACCTTAGAAAAGCTGAGGCCGAGTCGCAAAGCCACGGCATCATAGTGGCGCACCATTTGGTGCTGTACAGTATGAACTGGAGGGTGATCACATTGCAATCATTGCAGATTGCCTATCATAATGAGTGCAGAAGACCCATCACCAGCTAACAAGCAGCTCAGATGACCAGGACTGAAGCTCAGGGATGCCAAAAATGTCACTGAGCCCGAGATCTCTTTCCATTGATGAGAGACCTTGGGCACTGCTTCTCACCTCACATCTCATGCAGCATCCCCCACATCTTTTTGCCCCACACCTCATGCAGCATCCTCTGCATCTTCTTCCCTGGCACCTTCTCACTCTGCACCTCATGCAGCATCCTCCGCACCTTCTCGCCCCACACCTTATGATTCTTGAAATGCCATGACCTTTGCAAAGCACAGCACAAGTGACATGGATGTCAGCAAAATGACCTTTGCAAAGCGCAGCGCAAGTGACGTGGATCTCAGCAGAATGTCTGTCATTGATGTTAAGGAAGACAATCGACTCATCAAGAGATCACGCTCTGCCCAAACTCTAGACAACAATGCAAGTCAGGAGTCCAAGGGGTATATGGATAAGCATTTTCTGTTGTAATCTGTAACTTTCTGGCTACTGACACTGACTCAGAGGCAGCGAAAATACAGCAGCAGGTAGAGCCAGCGTGCATTCACCCTGAGGATGTAGATGATGATGTCATTGTTTTAAACATTGATGAACCATCAAAGCCTCAGCAGGAGAGAAGGAGCCGTGATATTATACACTTCTTCTCCAGCCTCTGTGACCAGAAGGTCCACAATTCAGCAAAGAGCCACCGTAACTGCAATCTTTGCAAGTAAGTAACTGTTATTGTACAGTGATTTAGTCTAACTACATCATCTTTTAGAAAAAATGCGGTGATAGATCACTGGTGAATGAGCATACAACATTGCAAAGGCATCTTCAATCAGCTCACGAGGTATGCATCGCATTTTTCTAAAATATGTGCAGTATCAAGATTGATATAAAGGGAGAAAACCATGCATGGTGCAATAACAATGACTTCATATCGATGCTGCCAAAGGACACAAAGCATCACCATGACGAAGCCAATGTTTTAGAGCAAACATGCCTTGACCCGCATTTGGAAAAGCGACCACGCAAAGAGTACATCGTGCTGTACTCTGATGCACTCTTTCATGAAGCATCCATTGAGTGGATCATAGCAACAGATCAGGTATAATTTAATTACAGTCTTTCAGTCGTGGCAGTCATTCATAACTACTCTATTAGCTGATACAAGCTCTTGAACATGCATCATTCAAGAAGATGATCGATGTTGCAGCTTGCACAATCAATGGCGTTGAAATTCCAAACTGCAAGCAGTCACACCATCAAGTAATTGACATGTTCCACCAGCAGATGATGAAGCTGCGAGAACGATTGACGGTACATTTCCGCTTAACTTACTGTGGCCCCCTCGAGTCATCGACATAAACAGAGCGAAGCTGTAAAGAGCCTGATCAGTCTCACTTGTGATGCATACCAGGCCTTCATAACAGATGGATACTTCGCTGTTACTGCACACTGGATAGAGGAGGTATTTCCCAGAAAGTGGACACTTGAAAGCATGCTATTAGGCTTCATCCAGCTAAACAATGCTCACAATGGAGTGTAATTGGGATGTGCGCTCTTCAAAGTCATCGAACACATGCATATTGAACATAAAGTATGTGTTCCATTATGCGTTATGTATGGCTGATCAAACTATCATCGCAAATTGGCTATATTACATGTGATAACACCACAAACAATGACATGATGATATCATATTTTGCGCGACATTTGCAGGCAGCAACAGGGAAGCCATTCAACCCTAAGAACTGGCATATTCGGTGAGTCATCATGGAGGTAATATGAATATCGTATCTCATTCATGATCTTTCTAGCTGCCTGGCACATATCATAAATCTCGCAATGCAAGCACTCATCTTGAAGTACAGCAAGTCTTCGCATTATGATCCTGAGAAGCTGGACATGATATTAATGAATGTTAATGGTTTCACGTCATGATGAAGTCAGTCTAGTGCGTGCAATCTCAGTCAAAGTATGTGGATTTATTTCGCTTTATCATGTATTTCTAAATTCGCATTATAGAAGCGTTCATCTGCAAAGCGCAAACAGCTTTTCAAGGACATTCAATTTTACAAGAAGGTCAAAATACCACGGCAGCTGCTTCTCGACATGCCAGTTCGTTGGTTATCAACCTACATGATGCTTGAGCGTTCAGAAGAGCTATGAGAGGTTAGTCATTACTTGTAATACAATTTTATGCTCCTTGCCCACTATCTGACTTCTGCAAGTTTGTCGACATGTTGTGTACAAGATGGCGAGAGAGGAGAAAGATCTTACAAAGTGACAGAAGCTCGATGAACTGCGACTAATGGCAGATGATTGGGACTGAGTAAAGCTATTCTTGAATTTGCTTACAGTGTGTCATTGTTTCCACAACTGTTTGTATATACTGAATGGCAATGCAGCATTCAAATAATGCACAGCAAGCATTTTCATCAGACCGAGGTCCTTCCCTGCATCTTGCTCTTCCCACACTCGAAGCCCTTTACAAGGCTTGGACATCACACACCAAACACGATAAGTATGCAGTGTTCAGCAAAACACTCCACGCAGGAACAGCGAAGATCAGCGACTACTATGAAAGATCAGCAGAGTCGGATGCATACATTTTTGCAATGTGTCAGTATATCATCCATTCATCTCATTTTTATCTCGCTGACTGTCAATCTTCCCCTCGCAATGCTTGATCCATCACAAAAAATGAAACACATTTGTAAGCATTGGGGAGAGGAGCTGCTGAAGGACAGTCTCGATCATGCAGAAGGCATTGTAAGTACCACCTCTTATCCTCTCTAGATGAAAACCAGTAATGCCATGCTAGTATAAGGCATGATATTTTCAGCTATATCTGAGTAGCCCGCCTTGTCCAACCATGCTGCAATCTGGTACCAGTGCCCATAGCAAGGTTGGACAGCTTATTCGTGAGCTATCCGATGATGAAGATGAAGAAGACATAGATGGACATGAAACTGTCAGTGATCCAGCCACACCATGGCTTGCTGATTTTCATTGCTATCTTAATTCGGCAGACATACTTGAAAATCACACCATCATCGAGTGGTGGGGGGTACAAGTTTTCATCATTGAATTCTTTGTGACAGTACTGACTGAGCTCAGTTTAACGCAGACAGATATCCCGTCTGGACCTCACTCGCTCGAGACTTGTTTGTCATTATGGCATTATCTGTATCAAGCAAGCGCACATTCTTCTCAGCCAGCATTACCATTAGCAAATGTCAGAACTGTTTGAAGGCTGATGTCATTGAAGCATTGCAATGCTTGAAATGCATGCCTCAACATGCCTTGATTTTTCGGCAGGAGCCTGTTGCATTAGGGTTTCAAGATACTGAGATTGCTGAGATTTCAGAGAACTCTGACCAGGGATGGGATGGGCTCATCTACAATCTCTCAGATGATGAAGGAGATACAGATTTTGGTGACGAGGATGACAATGTCTTTGTATCTACATTATGAATTAATTACGAATAAAATCGCTTTTTTTTGAGAAAAGCTGGGGCTTTGAGCTGGGCCTGAGCTGAGCCAGGCCTGAGCCATCTCTCTTAGGCCCAGCTTTCATTCATGATAGGCCTGAGCCTGCTGAAGCTGGGCCTAAGCTGGGGCTTTTGAGCTGAGCTGGGCCCAGCACATCACTACTCGTGGTATGCCGTTCGTTTTGTACTTTTATTTTCTTACTTGGATGGAGTTGGCACCAAGCGCCAGTTCCAAATAACAGGTGGGAGTGCAAATGTTACATTATATAGCAGAGAGCTGTAGGTAAGAGCCAATTAAAGGTGGATGCGTATTCAACTAGTTAATCTAAATTACGTTGTGGTACAAGACCGCCATCCTATCACAGGTGCCAAAGAATGCAACAGGCCCTTGGATCATCACAGCACAATTGTCACCATAGTGTGTGTCATCCATAAGCCAAGACACGACAATGTTATCTGGTGAGTATGCATGACTAATATCAAAAGAGAGGTTTAAATAAGTGTGATCACAGAAGTATCATTGCTACCTGGGACAGCTCTACCAGTGACAAGGTGAAGTGGTGGGATCATAGAAGGTGAATCCTCTGGCCTCATATTTCACATTTGCCAAGGGTCTGGAGGGCTGAATGGCTAGAGAGCAGAGTCTGAGATGTTCAAAAATGTGAGTCAGATATGCAAAAATGATCATGTCAGCAGAGATGGTGTTCATGATGATAGTTGACCAGAAGAAGCATATCAGAAAGAAGGCAGATTCGTTCCAGCCACACATGAAATCAATCTTGATGGACAGTCCTTTGATCTTCGCCACGTGATCAATATCCTGGTTGAGTCATGAATATGATCAATCTGTGATTTCCTCTCCTGTCTAGTAATGTTCAGGGCCCAGCTCAGCCTGAAAGCCCAAGCTTGGGCTCAGCTTAGAGGCTTGGGCTTGCCATAATCACAAGCTGGGCCCCCTGCTAGGGCTCAGGCTTGGCTCAGGCTCAGCTTAGCCTAAGCTCTGGGTGTTATGGATTGGGACCACAATCCTATAGACCATTAACAATTAGACAGGTAAACCATTCTGCTAAAAGTCTGGCTATGATATCCTTAGATATCATAGTGGTCTGAGCTATATATGCAGTTCATTCAGTCATTTATCATGTGCATCACTCACATGTGACCTGAACTGTAGGCATGTTGTACAGGTCTTGTGACACTACCCCCATTTTATGACTCAGACGTCCCGGCTGAGCTGAGAATTCGAAAGATGCCCCAAACATGGGCTCTTTTAACTTCTGGGTGTCGACAAGGCCCTTATCCATGGCACATGTCTTATAATGAGTATATAGTTCCAGACCCAACCCTAGCATTAATGGCATTGCATTATTGGGCTGGAAGGGTGGAGTTTGATTGAGTTACGTGTCCTCTGAACATCACTCAAATTCGTTACATGTGATCTGGGATATTTTATCTGCCATCCCCAGGACTCGAACCAGGCCCCTCGCAAGGATATCATATTGTTACAGATTGGGACCACAATCCTATAGACCATCAACAATTAGACAGTTGAACCATTCCTGTCACAGCATTAGGTGGCATCTTTGTTTTTGCACCATTAAAGTCCTCATTTGGCAATCACAAGTGGTTATTCAGATGCCAACCTTCATATTGGTCTCACAAAGTGGATACTTAGACAAACAGCACAATACTACCACATACATCGTGGATATGGCTGTGTCTACCACATGACCATCAAGCGCCCATGATTCAGCCACCCAGTCACATGACACTGGCCACTTGCCCTATTCAGAAGTTATCAGATGTTGGTCACGTGACACCAGGCCACTTGCCTAGAATGGAACCCTTTGGCCTACAATAGGCTCCCTCAAGCTCATTGGACCATCAAGCTAGCAAGCACCCAATTTGCCACTCAGATAGTGGCACCACTTTGCTGCCCAGCCAATAGGCAGACACTACAAGGAATCCCCCTATCAACCGGCATACAGTATAGCCAGGTACAGGATAGGCTGGATCTTCCCACAAACTTATCCAGATGAAGACTAATCGTCCCACCCATTGTTCTAAGTTTGGACAGATCCTCTCATCTGAGGTTACAACCGTTGTGATGTGCCCTGTTGGCCATCACCCATTGGCCCCTCAACAGTGGGCCCACTTTCTGGCAATTGTCTCATTGGATTAGATAGGATTACCTTAGCGTATCCATGGCCTTTATAGATAGTTGCCATAGTTGCTGCTAGAGCCCTTACTGGTTCTGGCATAATGTTCTCACATGTAGTTTGCTAGGACTTCAGTAGGTACACCATAGATACAGTGACCAGGGACCAGCTCTACATGTATATAAGCTCATGAGAATTTAAGGGAGGACCTTAGATTCATTATACTATTGTATGCGACCAGCAGGCCAGCTCCCCCTTTTCACCACTTATGCAAAGCCATACATTGGGGCTCTGCCTTGATTGTTGATTGTATGCCACTGTGTGCATCCTCAGCCTAGCCCTTGTGGCAGGCTTTTTATGTGGGATCATTTGTGCAGGTCACAAAAGCAGACTTGCCCTTAATTGGGTTAAGTGCTTTGGTGCTTTGTGACATTATAATAAATCTCCATGCACGCCCCCAGCTTCCTGCTGCTGGTGTGATTTTTTGGTCCTAATCATGACCACCTTAAATAAAACTGTTTAATTTTTGAGCCAAGCGAAGAAGACCTAGAGTTATTCGCTTGTGCTTTTTCAGCCCAAGAAAATCCAGGTGTGGGGCGCACCTTTTTTGACACATCCATCATCACCTCTACCGCTGTCAGCCTACCTCAAGACTTGGTAGCAGGCACCTTCACATAAGCCGCTCCCTCACCAGGACAGTGCTGCAGCAACATTTGATATTGGAACCTTTGTCCCCCCACCCATATTCATTTCAATAAGAGCAATATTTGCGAAAATAACACGAGTTATCGCCCCTTATATGCGAAAATACTATGAGTTATCGCTTATATAAGACACACAGCGTCCGCAATGACATTAAACTATTACCTATCATTTATATATCATTTGTATAGGATTGGTCACCTATAAATATATAAATAAAATATTTCAGATATCTAAAGACATGCTACTCCGAATCGACACAGTGATTGTCCACATATAAGATCTCCAAGAGCACGGCAGTCTTTGACTGTAAACTGCTGGCGGAAATAGATCTTTACTTAGCAGTCCACAATAGATAATCCAATTTTTAGGGAGTTATTTTGGCACACACAATGGGATATTGGAAACCCTTTTACCCAGAAGCGGTCTCAGAATTACTACATATTGCGCAACAATTAGTAATTTATTTGCTATGGGATGCCTAAACCACCTTTTCCCCAAAAGTTATAAAGGCTTTTTCTCCCACCCACCCTCCCTTACTTTTGTGCCCCTCAGTCTTGTTTTAACTCGCTCATGCCGCGTCAGTTCTGGGAGGAACCTGGCAAGGGGGAGGTAATGTAGGATACAGCAAGTATGTACGAGCTTATCTGAAGACGTGCGCATAAGAAGTGCAGCACTCAAAGATATATAGCAAGTACCGAGCGCATGTCCTATTCGAAGAGTCGAGAAGGATCCGCGAAGCAATTAGGATCACATGTCCGAAGATGAGCGTGAGCAAGTCAAGAATGATCCAAGCAGCGCCAAAGGATCACAT